TTGTTTTTTTTTTTTAAAAATATTTTTTTTTTTTTTTTTTGAAAATGTGAGAGCTAGAACTTCCGTAGGACGAATATACTTATTCATATCATTGACAGAAACTCCGATATTTTCACTTCCTACCATTTTTCAACAAAAATGTAGATGTAAGAAGCCTAAGTCTTATTTTTCACTACCAGATAGCCGTTGAAAAAAGGGGCCCAGCTATTTTCGAAAAGCCTATGCCTGCCAGGAATACGTGCCATATACTTGCTTAAAGTGCATTCAGATCGAAGAGAAAAGAAGAACTCTGACCTGGTCATACCAAGTGGAAATCACATTTTCCATATATAAATAGCTAGTGAAGAAGACAACAACACCGTCGGGCACGAGCGAAGCAAGTTCCAGTACGAGAGCACCGTAATTTCGAATTACAGCAGCATCTTCGCGGGATTCGTAACGTGACGTTATCGCAACCTGGTCATTGCCTGAAAATTTTTTAAAAATTGAAAAATGGGCATGCGGATTGGCAAAAATTTCAGCATCGAAGCTTGCTTGAATACCAAGTCCCATTTGATCTTGGACTGCATATCCCAAGCTATAAGGCGACAAATCACTTTTTCGGCATGCTTAGACACAGTATGCACCACGAAATGCCTTGATAAAGCAGCAAAAAAAAAAAAAATTCATAAAAAAAGCAAACCTTTGGAAACGATAAGTGGCGCAATGCAGGGCCTTGCAAGTGTCATCGATAGGCTTGCCATAACAGCCGGATCAAAATCCAATATTTTGGGATACATATCCAGCGGTGACAGTGTCTGAAAATGCATATCGCCGAATAAACGTTGGATTTTAAACAACTTACTATATTCCAATTAGCTTTGGGCATCTAAAATGATTCGGAGAGAGTGTGTAAATCTATCTCGCGGATGAGACCTATTTTGCGAATGAATATCGATCAGGAGGGAACCGAACAATTCGTCTTCACATCCAGATGCGGGAAAAAAAAGAAAACTAATGCATTTTCGATTCTCATGCTTACTAAGCACATTTTAAAATATGCCGGTTTTTCGCAGGACTTCCGCGACATCATCCATATAGCTGCAGTAATTCTTTGCCTCTTTTAAAACAGAAATTTGTTTTTTGACGATTAAAAAAAATACACAAAAAAAAAATTGGCCAACGCACGGGCTGCCCGTGCGAAGATGCGTTTTTTGCAGAGTTCCC